TCTGGATATAATGAAGCGGCAAAAAGAAAAATAATAAAAGTCTCCCTAACAAAGAGTCTCATGGTGGGAAGCTGAATTAAAATACGCAGCGCTGGTAATGAGCTATCTAAATTCAGTTTATATTGCTTGGAATTACACAAAAAAAGCAAGACTCAAGGCAGCACTGGCAGCAGAAACAAAGAAAAAAAAAAAACTTTACACCACTTTCTGCTTCACTGCCAGAAGAGTCTCCTGTCGCGCGGCGGCACGCTCAGTCCTGGGGAAATCGTTTGAGCCTCAGCGTGTATCTGTGAAGGCAATAATTCCTTTGTAAACGACATCACCTCCTCGCCCATCTCTGCATACTTGGCGGCTGTCACCATGTTGGATACACTCTATCACTCACATACATCCTCACACGGAGGGATGTTAAAGCTTCAAGCTCTGATTACTGACAACACATACTCAGATGGGGCGAACACACATATCTGGACACACACGAATGCGCCATCTGTGCGGGGTCCACCCTGACTGTGATTAAAGCGACGTGCACATCCGCACCACGCTTTCCTGGAATGAGACTGTGGCTAAACGGGAGTGGCAACGCTTCAAAGTTATCTGGAGAACAGCTTTGCTTATTGGCCCCACACAGGCAGATTCCTCTCCTGCTCATGAGATGGGTGCTCTATTTCAGTCCTTATTTAAAGAAAAAAATAAAAAGGAATTGCAGAAATGGTTTGAGGGTGAGGAGATGGGAAATAACTTGTTTCTGTCAGCTGAAACAGGACCGGGGGAAGATTGTGAGAGCCGACTTAGCCACAGATAGACAGCCTAGAGACAACAGAGTTTTTTTTTTTAACTGCTCTGTACAGTGGCCCCTGGGAATCAATTAGAACAGTGGCGCGCCTGTTTTTTCCACCTTCATTGGCTCGGAAGCAATTTGTTTACTTCACAGTCCAGCTCTGGATGGAAAACATAACAAATCCTTCAAAAATGTCCACCATTCAGCAGCCAGTGAGCCAGAATCAGGTTCTAACGGCATGAAACCACAAGAAACGACACGTTTCATTGAATGTAGACAGAGAAATAAAGAAAAAATTTGTTAATTAACATATTACCTTTTAAACTCCCTGCTCATTATATCATAACACATATTATTATAGCTGATATTAGCTGGTTCATTAGTCAGGCTGTCTCCTCTTTAATGGTGCATTCACAATGATACGATCGGATTGAGCGATTCACATGTTGAGGAGTATTCAGGAGTGAAATGATGACATCAACTCCTCGCCCATTTCTGGGGTGAAGACAGCAAATTGATATTGAAGCACCTTTGAATGAACTTATGGAATGGACCTTCATGTTGCTTAAAATATTACTCCTCCAAAAACAGATTGCTCTAGAGCGTCCGACCAGAACTGACGAAGACTCCTGAATAGGTGTAGAAACGCCTTCAGAAAAACTAAGTGAAAGCTTGAAAGCCTCTGATTTAAAGGAATAGTACACCCAAAACATGATTAGCCTTCATTTTCTACTCACCCCCATGCTGAACAACACTCTGGAGTACTTTTTTGATATCTCAAATGCATCTGGAGATCTGGGAGGCTTCTTGCTGTCTGCTGACATTCAAATAATGGAGGTCTATGGCGCCCGAGGCAGAAAGGTCCATAAAAGTCCACAAAAAACGTGTCAATATTCCTCCATACTGCTCGTCCAATGTATTCCAAGTGTCCTGAGTTGGTAGCGTCCATAATTTACTCGAAACGAAGTCATTTAGAATGTTTTTAGAGCATAAACAGTAGTGTATAGGATTTCCTAAAAGCGCGTTCACGAGTCTACGGAAACCGCGGCAGACCAAACCAGACGAAAGTGCGCATTCAGCGTCTGTTCTGCCGATAATGCAAGCGTAGAAGAAGAAATGTGCTGTTTACCTGTGCAAAGAAAGAAACAACGAAAGAAAAATGTCTGAGGACTTCAGTGTTGAAGAAGAGCATGAGTTCTTTGCCTCCATTATTTGAATGTCAGCAGACAGCAAGAAGCCTCCCAGATCTCCAGATGCATTTGAGATATCAAAAAAGTACTCCAGAGTGTTGTTCTGCATGGGGGTGAGTAGAAAATGAAGGCTAATCATGTTTTGGGTGTACTATTCCTTTAAGCCTATCTGAACACACCATGAGAATAGAAATACTCTTTACTGTCCTGCAATAAGGAAGCGATCTAACGTTTACCATGATGACATATTAGCAGGTCTCTGCCCATTTACTGCACCTCCTTCTCCTGTCAGTTGACCAAAGCTACTGCATCTAGGATAGCAATGGCTGTTAAAGGAAAAGTCTGGTCAGCAAGGAATAATCAATGGGTCAATATTTATACCTAAAACTAAAGTAGTTATTTTCATTGCGATCACTGAGTCTGGGAGCGGCCATTTTTGCCCAAATATAGTAGCCCCTCCCTCCTGCCATCTTCCAGCAGTGACGTCACGGTGCGGTAAGCCTAGCGCCATTCTCCCCGCTTTACAAGCTAAATCAATGGGAACTACTAGACACATCTGCAATCAACAACAATTATTGAAGATTTCCAGAGGACTTCACCATTGAAATTCACCAGAGCTATAGTGAAACTGACAATGCCCACGTGCATGGCAGCTGGATGTTGGAATACATCGGGTAAAAGTGGAAAAGAATTATTTCACCTTTCCGATTCCTGATCCTCCACGGACGGGTTTGTCATTGAAGGGGGAGGATTTGCCATCAAACTTCTGGCCAGAGAAAAAACACGTATTATGTAGCAAAAAAGCCAACATTTGGAAGAAGAATGTTTTCAAGATGACTTGGATAATAGCGCGTTGTGACAGACACCAGATATAGCACTGGGACTTGATCAACAGCCAATACCGTACAGTGATGTCACAAATCAGTCAACATATTCTCATTATCAGTTCATATGAAATCGTACAAAAAGTTATGCACAGTATTTGAAGTTTTTCCTCGAAAAAACAGATCAGTGCGCATGCGCAGCCAGACAGACGAAAAAAGCAGATCCGCAGATGGACGTAAAACTGGGAAAAACAGTGCAATAATTACTTCTTCATGTCTCTCACTAGGTTGCTTGCTGTTCTGTTTTGTTAGGGTCAGGGTTAGGGTTAATTCTATGTTAAATTCTATGTTATTGAATGGTGCGTAAGATGCGCATGCGCAAGGATATCTTGTCTCGAGGCAAGACGTAAAAATACGACGAAATACGACGAAAAAAAACGTAAAAAACGTACGAAATACTGTGCATAACTTTTCGTACGATTTCATACGAACTGATAATGAGAATACACTGAACCAGTAGGTGGCAGTAGTGTTTTTTGACAAACATGGATGCCTCCGGTAAAGCACATTCAGATGAAAATTACTCTTAATTAAGAACACTGATCATTTATTGAACAGTATGTAATAATTTGAATTTGAATTCTGAATATGACCAGACTTTTCCTTTAACCGCCACCTCAAGTAAAAAGGGGCATTTTAACAACTACCGAAAACATTTCATGAACAGATGCTTGTTGCCACTTAAGGCGTTTTGCATACTAACCCTAACAACCTTGTATTTACACCCAGAAAAAGCAAAAAAAAAATTTTTCCTTTAACTCAAAACAATTATTCTTACTGCTACTAATAACTTGGTCAATCTCTGTCTGAGTGCAGGACGGGATCAAAAAATGGTAAAATCTTTTCTATCAAGGAAATCTCTCCAATCCATCTTTTAATCCATGTTATTAAAATGCTTGTCTTTATTTTATTTATAAATTTAGGACGTTACATTTCAAATGCAATGCCGTTATTAATATTATTATAAACATATAAATACAATTCAGTTTTTTGTTGTTACGCAAAGTTCATCAGGCTAACGTTACATAAATTAAGAGCATATATTCGCATATGTAAATACTACATTCCGGTACAGCAATTGCCCGTGTGTAGCCCATTATCACCAAAGTAAATTCCTTGTATGTACAAAAAACTTCCTATTTTCTGACTCTGTTAGCTGGTCAATGACTCAGGGTGTGTGTGAGCATGCAGTCTCTATAACTGCTGTTCTGTTTGCAAACTACACATTATAAACAGCTTTAGATGTTTATCTGGTGTCTGTATCATGATGTTTTTTGTTTTCTTGACTGGAAATATGATTTGGCTTTATTAAAAAACTTGTCCTACAGTCTGTGATTGTAAGGCAGGTGATTTGCAATAACTTGTCCTATTTCCAGCCTTCAGCATTTGCATCCATCTATCCCTGAACACAGCACGCTGTTCTCATCCTGTTGGGTGTCTGCAAGAGCACGCATGGGGACAGACTCTGACCTCCGAGCCAGGTTGCGCAGCCTCCAGCAGCTCTGTTACCATATGTCTATCCCCCTCACCCTCCACATGCAGACATTAAAGCGATTCCAGCTGCAATCGGTGAGGCAGCGGGGAAGCCTCACTGCTGTGTCAGGGAGGATGAACAGCTTATTGCTGCTGGAAAGTCTCCTGTGTCTCCCAGACAAAACTGACAGGTGTCACCTTGTTATTTCATGGGGGAAGAAGCTGCGGCCTGGGGTCCAAAGGGAGTTGATTAGCACAAACTTGCACACACACTTGCTGGAGAATTGAGAATTGAGCAGCAAGCGAAGCAGGAAAGTGCCAACAGTCAGGCGCACAGTTGTGACATCTGGATGTAGTTATCTTTGCCTTTGGAGGGGCTACTTTTCCCATGTTTTCATATTCAGGGAGCTGTAAATGGGATTAGTTAGATGTTAATAATTAATGTTATATTAAAATTTCACCACCATATTGCACAACAAGAAGGAATCGGGATCTCTAAGTCTATAATGCGTGTTTGTCTCAGATATTTTGATCAGAGTTTCTGTTTCAAGGTCTAAGGAAAGATATTTTATTATGCCTTCTGATCCGGACTGCCCTGAATAGCAGAACGAGCCAATCTGTTGTTCATCCATCCACATCAGCACAACTGCTGTTCTGAAGTTTAAATATCAATGCATACTCCCAAAATAAAACCTTACCAAGCCCATTTTCTGTCTTATTACCATTAGAACTTGTTCCTCTCATCCTCCTCCATAACTCCACCTATCAGTCACAAACAACAGGGAAGCCCTGCAGGCGCGCGCTGCTGAGCTGAGAAACACAATCCAGCCTTTGAATGTGAGCAATGAATGTTTGGAAGATAGCAGATGTGAACTAAAACAGGTCACCTTGTTAAGAAGCACAGACAAGTGGCGGAGATAAAGCAAAACACCTTGAAATGCCATTGGTGGTGAGTGATAGTGCAGAGATGTTATCGCAGAGTAATCAGCGCGATCAGCAGGGAGTTATCTGTGTCAGATGGACAGTTTTTACTTTTTTTTTTTATTCCTGCACACATCCACACCGGGAGCCTGGAGCAGGCTGCCCTTCACCTACCGTACCTTTGGTGTGAGCGGCGCTCAGCCCCGCAGCAAGCGCAGCCAACACGCAGACCAGCCTCAGCCTCAGCATCTTCTCGGTGGGAGATTCAGCAACTGCTGTAGGAGATGGACCACAGCGACCTCTTCCCTCCTCCTCCTCCTCCTTCTGCTTCTCTCTCCTCTCTTTTTCTTCTTGCCACCCTTTCTTTCTGATTTAAGGAGCGGTTTCTCTCCTCCGTCTCTGTCAGAGTGGAAACAGTTGACTGTCGGATGCGGGACAGGAGGAGCGGCGTGGAGAAGCAGCAGCAGTCCGACCCTGACGCGCGTCTCTCCGTAGCTACGAGAAGCGGCAGGTGAGGCGGACTGAGCCGAGCTGAGACGGGACCAGAGAGCGGCGCACCTCCAGTCCACACCGAGCGACGTCACAGGGAGGAGAGGTGGGCTCACTCACTTTTTTTTTTTTACTCCTCTCCACTCCAGCTCTCCCATCCTCCCTCCCTCCCTCCGCTTTCTGGTCTGTAGAGCATCCCACCGTACGGAAGAGGATTAGGGCCACTAGAAGAAAAAAAAGTTACCTGATTTTTTTTTTTTTTTTTTTTTCAGTATAGTATGGGAAAAAAGTCAGAATTCTGACTTTAATGTCAGAATTCTGAGATTAAAGTCAAAATTCTGAGAAAAAAGTCAGAATTCTGACTTTTTTCCCATGTTAAACTGAAATAAAATTTAAAAATCAGTTTACTTTTTTTTTTTTTTTTTTTTTTGAGTGGGTAATTAGGGCCACTGAAAAAAAAAATTTAACTGATTTTTAAATTTTATTTCAGTTTAACATGAGAAAAAAGTCAGAATTCTAACAATAAAAAAAAGTCAGAATTCTGACATTAAAGTCAGAATTCTGACTTTTTTCCCATACTAAACTGAAATAAAATGTAAAAATCAGTTAACTTTTTTTTTTTTTTCCCACTGGCCCTAATCCTCTTTCGTAGATTTCTGACTGAATTCTGACAATAAAAAAAGTCAGGATTCTGAGAAAAAAGTCAGAATTCTGACTTTAATCTCAGAATTCTGAGATTAAAGTCAGAATTCTGACTTTCTTCCCATACTATACTGAAATAAAATTTAAAAAAAAATCAGTTAACTGTTTTGTTTTTTTCCAGTGGCCCTAATCCTCTTCCGTACACCCCACTTCAATTCAGTTCAGTTTATTTCTATAGCACAAATTCACATCACATTTCACAGCACTTTACAGAGACAAATTAACCAGATCATAAAGTCAGATTAAATCAAAGTTTTCTATGCATCAAAGTCTTCTAAGCATGCTTGTAGCGACAGTGGAGAAGAAAAACTCCCTTTTAACAGGAAGAAACCTCCAGCAGAACCAGGCTCAGTGTGAGCGGCCATCTGCTGAGGCCGACTGGGGTTCAAGGAGACAGAAGCAGAGATGCAAAAAGCAGCTGTAAAAGGCGGCCCTGTCCAGGAAACACAGCCATGCTCCGAGCCAGCTCCCATGTCAAAGGATGAAGAGAGCACATCCAGCCAGTCACAGTCAGAGAAACAGGACTACACTGGAAAACAAGCCGATCTCGAAAATCTATAAACAAAGGTGTTGATGGCAGCAGCACAGCTGATATTTGATCACTTCAGAGATGGACCATTTCCCATAAACCAGCTTAGCTGTCTATCGGTAGATGCGGTGCAAGCTTTAAAAAATAGCTCTGGACATCCAAAAAAAATTTTCAACTCTGTTTATTTCCGGAGCTCCACTTTAGCTACAACACAAAACCCTTTACAGGCACAATTTAATAAGATGCTCCCAGGGACATATCAAGAGTTGTGGCCAGAGGGACCTTGGCCACCCCGTGGTTCCCCTATCGGCTGATTTGTTGTTCCTGTTGGGATTTAAAGGAAAAGTCTGGTCATATTCAGAATTCAAACTTCGAGTTCAAATGTAAAGTGCGTTACAAATAAAATTCATTATTATTATTAGGGATGCACGATATAATCGGCCCCCTATCGGTATCGGCCTTAAAACTGAATCTCGGACATCGGCCACCCCACCGATATTTAACCTGATATTTGATCAGCTTCTGAGTTTCTAAAGTCTAAAAAAAATAATAATAAAATACTACTTCTTCTTCTTCTTCCTCAAAAACTTCTTTTTTACAGACTTAAAAACTTCTAAAGACGAGGGAAAAAATATTGATACATTAAAATATCCCAATATCTTCATATGCTGATATATTGCCATTTAAAAACACCATATCAATCTCTTTTACTAATGAAATATTGCTATATGTCATCGTTATGCTACAAAGTCCCCCGAAAATTCACGAAATTTTGCCATATTTTTATATGTCGATATATTGACGCGGTATCGATCTATCTTACTAACAAAATCTCACAAGAATTTGCAAGATATCACGAGAGTTTGTAACAGAACGAGGAAATTTCACGAGATTTTGAAAGTAAAATAGATCGATACTGCGTTTTTAAAAATCAATTTGATATCAGCATATGAAAATATATTTGAGTATATTATTTTTCAAAGTGTCAGAAATGGATAACAAAACTGCTATTTTCAATGACTACTTATTTTTGTCCAGCTTTAACATCGGTATCGATATTCGGTTATCGGCTACATGAGTTTTAAAATATCGGCATATCGGATATCGACCAAAATCCCAATATCCTGCATACCTTATTATTATTATTATTATTAAACCAACCAATCAGTGCACAGCTCATCTAAATATTCATGAGCGTATCATAAAAGGAAGAAAACCTGTCCTTTCATTCTACGGCTTTTAACCAGGCTTGCATTAGGACAGCAAATATGCCATTTTCAGCCCAACCAATGTTACACACCCTATTCAGAGACTATAAGGACCAAATACCCTATAGAATCATTCTGTGAACCCTTTAAACTGAAGCCATATAAAACAGATTAAAATAGCCATCATGCATAACAAATAAATTGACCAATTTAAATGAAATAAAAGTTTCTATCCTTTTACTATGTACTTCTTATATTTTAAATGTTATTGCTAGTTTCAGAAACTTGTAATGAAATTAAAAAAGGCCCAGTGGAATATTGCTTGTTTGTTGAAAATAGAACAATATTGTTTACCAAGGTTCAGTGAGTGTAAAAAAAAAAATCCTTATTCTGTTCATATGTTTTGTCTATACGGTGTGTGTCGGTGTTGCCTTGGTGCCGGGCAGTGAGATTAATAATAACTTTTTCCATTTTCCTGAGGAGCCTATCTCAAAGGAACTTTTCTGTCTCCTCTTATGAATTATCTCTACTGGTTTAGAATTATTCTGGGAGACAGAGAAAAATATTGGCTCTGTTATCTCTGGGGAGAAGTGGGGGGAAAAAAAACACAAACAAGATGACAATGAACAGATTTGATTCACAGTACTCACTGATTAAATTAGGTTTGGTCTGTGTTTTTCTCTTGGCAAATTATTTAGGTGAGATAGAATTACCAGAAAGGTTTCCACATAGAATCCGGAGGGGATGGGAAAAAATATGGGTGGGGGGGTTGCAGGAATTTATAATCCTCAGATCCAACAGGAGCGCTTTAATGTTTGCAATTGAAATTATGTTAAATATTACATTTAATTTGTTGCACGTGGGATCCTTTGCACAGATCGTGCGTTTAGATTGTCCACAATCCAAATAAAATTAATGTTAATCAAGACCAAGTCCAACCAAGTTTATTTTTATCCAGCTAATTTATCGACTGCGAAAAATGATCTATGAATAAAAATATTAAAAATAAGTTTATTTGCCCATGATTTAATAAGGTAGATAAGATTATCTACTAACGTAATGAGTATTTTTGTTAATGATTAGATATTGTGCACCTGAAAAAAGGCAAGTTTTTTGTCCAGCACAATTCAGTACATGGACAATTCAAACTGCTTTACATGAATTAGATAATAAATTAGGCTTTTGTTTGGCTATTCTATAAAGCCCGGAGCGCAACACTAATCCAGACATATTGAATTGAAAAAGCTTTCTGGATGAGAAGCGAAATGCCTTCAAACTTGGAAAAAAGCGCAGGCGTTTTTTTTATTTTTTGGAATTACCGTCTGATACTTACCCCTTTTTTGCTTCTTTTCCCAGACGGAGCCACTTCTCAGCAGCATCTGAGCTCCGTCTCAGGTGACTTCAACCTACTATTCCTTGTCACGATTTGGCTAAGGTTAGTTGACCCAAAAGCAGAGGCAGGGAGGCAGAGGTGAATCTCTTGTGGATTTAATAATGAGATAGCAGAAAACAGAGGCAGGTTATCCAAAAATCCAAAAAGAAAACAAAGTCCAAACAAACATGAAACCAGGAGTCCAAAAAAACCTAAAATCAAAACATGAAAACTAGTCTAAACGTACCAGAAACCATGGAAACATCAGGGGAATCACAATCATAAGGAGGAAGGCTCAGAGAGAAGGAGTTGGAGCAAGTTTGACGGTGTTTGACGAGGACCCAGCAAAGGGGAACTCAAGAGAGAGGGCTTTTAAAGGAGACTGAGACAAAGAGGGGGGTAATGAGGAAACTGGGAGCAGGTGTGCAAAGAACAAGAGAGGGAAAGAGCTAGGGAAGAAGGAGAACACAAGAGGGCAGCAGAGAGCAACAAACAGAAACCTGGAAGACTGGAAATAACAAAATGATAATCAAATAACCAGGACTATAAAACATGGATAAAAGAAAACTAAACACTAGAAAACAAGGAGTAAAGTAAGACTGAATACTCAAAAGAAAAACATAACAGAAACCTGACAATTCCTTATGGTGCAAAATGCAGAAGAAAAATTGATATTTTTATTCTACCGCACTCCAGACGTTCTGTGGATGTACTACTTTTTAAATCAATTATTTTGATGGAAAATATGTAGCTATGACATTCTAATTACACAACTACCAACTTTAAATTATATTTATTTTCAGTTTAACTGTTTAGCTTACTGTGCAGCCGAATTCTACATTGCTACATTGTCTTAGTTTTTTTTTTTTATTATATACCTTTAGAAATGGGTAATTTGTTCAATTTAAGTCTACCAATCCCCACCGCAATTACATTGTGTCACCAATAGGGGGACCCCCTTACTTTTAGATTTCCTGAACTATGTGATTTAAAAAAAAATGCAATAGGAATTGTGAAAGGTTGCAAAACAAGTATTTTCTAACATCTGGAATTTAAAGATAAACATGCTTTATTAATATCACTCAGAGAAGAAGAAAGCGGGATGTGCAGCATGTACAGCCCTGCTGTGCATGTTTCAATGACTAAGCTTTATCGGGTACTTTTATCTTCTCAAGGCTGTTTTCCAAATTGCAACCAGCTGCAAATGGCCAATTTGGTCAGAGTCCTCATTCTGCTTCTGTAACATTGACCCACATTAAGACCACCTTATGATGACCTTCAAGCTGTAACACAGATGTGATAACAATCTACTTCATACACAGTCCTAAAGAACATTTCCTCTATGTTCTCTCTGTCTGGGAGGTGACAACCATGTTTTGGTACCTGTTGGTTCAGTTGAAGAAATAAAAAAACAATTAAAAACCTTCAGAGGACATTTATTCTTGTGTGATAGCTAACAGAAACCTGGATAATTTAGGGCAGCACATAACAGACCTCTCAGTGACAGCAGCCAAAAAAAAAAAAACCTTCAGCTCCTGAAAGCAGAGATACATAGAGAGAGAAAAGTCTGATTACAGGTGCTGGTCATAAAATTAGAATATCATGAAAAAGTAGATTGATTTCAGTAATTCCATTTAAAAAGTGAAACTTGTATATTATATTCATACATTACATACAAACTCATATATTTCAGATGTTTATTTTGTTTAATTTTGATGATTACAAATGACAACAAATGAAAATCTCAAATTCATCATATCAGAAAATTAGAATATTACTGAAGACCAATAAAAACAAAGGATTTATAGAAATGTTGGCCAACTGAAAAGTATGAACATGAAAAGTATGAGCATGTACAGCACTCAGTATTTAGTTGGGCCTCCTTTGGCCTGTATTACTGCAGCAATGCGGCGTGGCATGGAGTCGATCAGTCTGTGGCACTGCTCAGGTGTTATGATAGCCCAGGTTGCTCTAATAGTGGCTTTTAGCTCTTCTGAATTGTTGGGTCTGGTGTATTGCATCTTCTTCTTCACAATACCCCATAGATTTTCTATGGGGTTAAGGTCAGGAGAGTTTGCTGGCCAATTAAGAACAGGGATACCATGGTCCTTCAACCAGGTACTGGTAGCTTTGGCACTGTGTGCAGGTGCCAAGTCCTGTTGGAAAATGAAATCTGCATCTCCAAAAAGTTGGTCAGCTGCAGGAAGCATGAAGTGCTCTAAAACTTCCTGGTATGTGGCTGCGTTGACCCTGGACCTCAGAAAACACAATGGACCAACACCAGCAGATGACATGGCACCCCAAACCATCACTGACTGTGGAAACTTTACACTGGACTTCAAGCAACGTGGATGAAGTGCCTCTCTTCTTTTCCTCCAGACTCTGGGACCTTGATTTCCAAAGGAAATGCAAAATTTACTTTCATCAGAGAACATGACTTTGGACCACTCACCAGCAGTCCAGTCCTGTTTCTCTTTAGACGCTTCTGACGCTGTCTGTGGTTCAAGAGTGGCTTGACACAAGGAATGCGACAGCAGAAACCCATGTCTTTCATACGTCTGTGTGTGGTGGTTCTTGAAGCACTCACTCCAGCTGCAGTCCACTCTTTGTGAATCTCCCCCACATTTTTGAAGGGGTTTTGTTTCACAATCCTCTCCAGGGTGCGGTTATCTCTCTTGCTTGTACACTTTTTTCGACCACATCTTTTCCTTCCCTTCGCCTCTCTATTAATGTGCTTGGACACTGAGCTCTGTGAACAGCCAGCCTCTTTAGCGATGACCTTTTGTGTCTTGCCCTCCTTGTGCAAGGTGTCGATGGTCGTCTTTTGGACAACTGTCAAGTCGGCAGTCTTCCCCATGATTGTGTAGCCTATAGAACTAGACTGAAAGACCATTTAAAGGCTTTTGCAGGTGGTTTGAGTTAATTAGCTGATTAGAGTGTGGCACCAGGGGCCATCAATTTTGAACCTTTTCACAATATTCTAATTTTCTGATATGATGAATTTGAGATTTTCATTTGTTGTCATTTGTAATCATCAAAATTAAACAAAATAAACATCTGAAATATATGAGTTTGTATGTAATGTATGAATATAATATACAAGTTTCACTTTTTAAATGGAATTACTGAAATCAATCTACTTTTTCATGATATTCTAATTTTATGACCAGCACCTGTATATGAGCTGAATCTCAAGGCTGCTCTGGGCTCACTTCATGTCCATCGATGAGGCACTGCAGCAGAGCAAAACTTGCTGCCACACGGTGACATTCAGCATGGTGGAAGATAGAGCAGCTCTGTCGCATTAGGAGGGTTTTGAGGCACCAAAAAACGCGTATGAGTGACACTGTTAGGCTACGTTCACACCACTGCCTGAAGTGACCCAAATCTTATTTGTTTGGCCCATATGCGACCTGGATCTGATCTTTTCATGGCAGTCTGAACAACACAGATCCGATTTTTTCCAATCCGACCCAGGCCACTGGGCTATGAGGTCCTGAATCCGATACGAATCTGATCTTTTCAAATGCGACCTGTGTCTGAGCTGCCAGGTCGCATTCATCCGACCTGAACGCCATTTATACCCGAAAGTGGTCGCTATTCTGCTTCTTGCTACGCAGAAGCAGAAAGAAAAACAACAACCATGCACTGCAAAAACCATATAGAAATAAGTACAAAATTTCTTAAAATAAGTGTATTTACCCTTAATTTTAGTAGGTAAATAAGATGATTTACTACTCCTACTCCTAAAATAAGATAATTAGATAATATTCACTTGAAATAAGACAAAGCAATTGTTTTTTTCTTATTTTAAATGTAAATTGTCTTGTTCCATTGGCAAGGTGTCTCACGTATCTCCTCAATTCAAGAAAAAATTTACTTAATTTAAGCAAAAATGACTCATATAGATTTCCATTTTTTGTAGTGTGGCAGACGACGATGCGGAGAGCAGTATTTGTAAATGCTATTGTTTTGCTTGTACAATAATTCAGAAATCCAGTAGGTGGCACTGTTGCACCTCATATAAGTTTGTATTTATTTTTTATTTTATATGGTTCAATATTTGTGTAATATACCTTAAAATCATCGTTTGTTTTGAATGTTAGTAACAGTATTTTATTTAATTAGGATTAAGATGGATGCACGTAGTTTGAAAAATGACATTTCCGTTTCCTGTCAACATTGTAAGCTATCGGCACCACACTTGTGCTTCGGCGTGGACTGTACGAGCTCACAAAGGCTAAGAACTGCATTTGCTAGTTAAGACAAAAGAATAAACCCAGCCTTAGTCACAAGCAGGCCAAAGTGGTATGTTTGTTTGCTACATTTACTGTATGTTAAGTTATGTTGTGAGGCTAATTATTTCTGTTGTATTTTTCTGCTTATTTTGTCAGTTCTACGTTGTTTAAGAGCATTAAACATCAGTAAAAGGAACTCCTGTCTTCGCGTTGTAACTGAGGGCGGCATAGTATTTATGTTTAACCATATCGAAAAGATTGAGTTTTTATAGTTGGAAAAGATCGATAGATGGCACTACCGTCCATGTTTACTTCTGTAAACACAGAGCATGCTGGCCTGGGACGTCATTGCATCCTCTACTGCGCATGCAGGACTGTAGTTCACACAGCAGATCACATACAAGTTACATATATTTGGAAATATGAACAGCAACGCAAAAAAAAATAGGATTTCACAAAAAAATCAGAATTGAGCATCAAGGTCTGCAGTGTGTCAGCCTTAGACTCAATCTGATGGGTTAACAGCAACTCTGTTGGCAGAATGCGAGCATTGGACAAAAGTAATCAGATTTTACCTTTTCTCAAATGTATCCATATCAAATCCACTCATTTTAATTTCAAGTTTTTTTTTTAGAGGAGTTTAATTATCTTGGGGTCTTGTTCACGAATGAGAGGATGATGGAGCGGGAGATCGACAGGCGGATTGGTACGGAGTCTGCTGGGAAGCGTGCGCTGTACTGGTCTGTTGTAGTGAAGAGAGAGCTGAGAGTTATGTTTCTGTTACTTGCAGAACTTTATTTTTGATAAAGAGGTAGTAGCAGGAGT